GTCATTCATTCAAACACAAGAAACCAATACCAACAATTTGTAAACCACAGTACTTCGATCAATAAGAAAAAAGTTAATGATAAACTGAAATTAAAAAAAAAGCTGTTTTCATTTGGCATCTGTAAGATTCTTCCACTTCCCTTATTTGATAAGGAATACATAGAAAGTGGAGTCTTAAACATGCTTAATCTTCTACAACACAAGAGCCAAGAACCACTTTGTTTGTGGTATTATAATTCTCCATATTTTTTCCTACTACCAAATAACTGTAAAAAAGGAATTAAATAAAATCTCTTACAAAAGCTGCCCTCAAAGTCCCCCATGAAATTCCTTTATGAGGTCAAATAATCTTTTTCAAGGCTGCTTTTGAATGTTGCATCGCAGGCAATGTAGAAACAGGTGTCCAGTACAATCACTGGCTGATTCCTCGACTGCAGACCCTTTAGGGCAATGCTCTGTCATTTCAGAGGGCAACTTGCTACCAGGTCCTTCCATACAGGGAGAGGATGGACCTTCCTAGAGGGACCTCTGCCAGCCATCCCATCATCACTCTAGTCTAGAAATGTGTCTGTTTATTGTGTGTCTCAGAGAAGGTTTTACACACACACACATACACACACACACAAACACACACAGACACATCACTTTTAAGGGCCAAATAATCTCAGTGGCGGGAGTGATACTGGGAACATTGGTGGTAGAGAAAGGGCACTGGTGGAAGGATGGGTACTCAATCACTGTATGACTGAAATGTAATCACAAAAGTTTTTAAGTCTGTAACTGTGTCTCACAGTGATTCATTTAAAAAAAAATTAAAAAAATTCTCAGTGCCTTGGCGAGCTAACAATATGTCAGTCTTCTAGATCTACATTCTTTAAATATCTATTTATTTTTGGAAGGAGCTGGGCTTGGACCCCACTTGGCCGTTCTCAGGACTTACTCTGTGCTCAAGGGTCACTCCTGTCTGTGATCAGATCATTTGTGGTACTAGGGCTGTAACATGGGTTGGCTGCATGCAGGCAAGGTTCTGACCTCAAATACTACTTTTCTGGGTCTTCTAAGTATCTGGATGGGGAAAGATATTTGAATGAGCCAATGGTCTATCAGCATTTTCACAGCCTTCTATGTTGGTTAAGTAGACCCAAATGGATGTTTCAAAATACTCTATTCCTAGACTTGGCCAGCTTGTCTTAGTAAGAAACTTTCTTCCAATTGACAGATAACAACTTCCATGAAAATACTTTGTCAGACACATCATTGGCTATCTGCAATTATAATTAAGTCTTCTCCCTGCAGGCAAATCCATATTTGGTCTATGTTTTAATCCAACCCTGTCCATAAGTATCAGTTAATTGTATGATTTTTTTTTTTTTGCTTAATGTCAGTACCTCCAAGTAGATTATAGACACTCTGGCACAGAAACAGAATCTGTTTTGTTCAACAGTGGATCTCGGATGCCAATAAAATGTCAGATACATGATAGATGCTAAGAAAACACTTGAATGGCCAAGTGACTCAATTCACAGGACACATTACCTGAGTCCGAAATCTGGACTTTGTTTGATGTGTCATACAGAGAAAGGAATTTATTCTCTATTAAGGGTAGGGCAGTGTACTAAATTAAGGGCTATTTTCTTCTTTTTCTCCCCCCCCCCCCCCCCCGCCTGCTTTTCCATACCTGGCTATATCCAGGCTCACTCCTGGCTCTGTGTTCAGGGAACACACCTGGTGGGCTTAGGGAACATATGTGTTGCTGAGAAAATAACCCGTGTCAGCTGTGTACAAGGCAAATGCCCTACCTCACTGTACTGTCTCCCTGGCCCCATCTTGTACCAACTTTAAAAGTTACTGTCAGTATAATCATTTACATCTATGAGTTTGCATTTTTTAATTTAGTTTTATTACTAACATTTGGAAAACCCAATGCCACCATCAGAGTTCCTCTGTTCATCTACACCAGACACATAAGTCCTGGGTAGAAATGAAAACAGGGGGCCCTTTATCATGCAGCCATTTCCAGCGCTGGCCCCGCGCCCAGGCAGATATGTGCAAAATGAAGACTAGAAGAATTACTGAAATGCCCTTTCCTTTATTCATCTGATGAGGGAGGCAGGCCTCCTCCCCTAGACACTTTTACCATCATCTAATTAATCAGTTCAACAATAAAAAAAAACTTGTAAAATGCTACAGAGCAGTATTTGTAGAATATGGTGATTATAAAAACTTAATATACACTAATAAAAATAAAAAATATAGCATGTTCCCAGACAATTTCTCATATAAAACTCTAAGACCTTAGAAGTTGTAGTAACAACCTTGAGAATCATTTCCATAGCAACATTTTGAAAGTAGTTTTTCATTTTTAAGTTCAATATACTTTTTAAAATCACCTCACTTTTTTCTTATGACAGGGAAAAGATCTGAGTATTACTGTGTAGGGGAAATTAATAATGATAAATAATTCTAAACATTAATTGATAATAATGAGTGGTTAAATATTTTCTGTTTTCAAGGGTTGATCTTATTGTCCTCATTTTATTGCTAAAGAAAATTACCAGTAAAATTAAATAACTATCCCAAATTCAGAGTTACAAGTGAGAAAGAACCAGAATTTAAATTACATATTCTTGATCCCAAATCTCTGGTACTTAATGTCATTTTTACAGTATAACTGGTTTATGATTTCATGTAACTTTCTATTCTTGATGTGGGAATACTAAGTTAAAAACATGATATGAAACTAACACACAATACTCACACAGGGACTATATTAGCACAAAAATATCCACAAAGATTTTAGCAAAGATTTATTTTTCAGAAAATTACATTTTAACAATATACTTTATACTTAAAATAAAAATAAGTTCTGCCATAAAATAATAATGGCAAATAAGTTATCTTTTGGTTTCCTTCATTAGTAAGTGAAAAACATATATATTTTAAAATGGCATGAAGACCATTGTCTTTATGACTCAACTTCAAAACAGAGTCCTCACTATTCAAATAACATTGATAAACAGATTAGATTCTGTGCATGTACATTTGACTTGTGTATGTGTTATTCTGTGTGAAAGTTCATATTTTTGTTGTTACTTTATGACTTACAGAAAATTTATAAAGACATCTATACTTCTTAAAAGAAAAACATACCCATTGTCAGTTATATTCAATTCAATTAGCAAATTTTTATCAAAAGAATTAATAACATCGAAGAGGGTTCAAACGAAGTAAATTCAAAGAAAGGAAACCCTAATTTCTTTTATTTTGAATTGTTAACTTAGAGGGTAGTGCTGACTAGTTCTGCTGCTAGCATAGAAGAGCTTGTCTGGACAACGCATGTCTACATATCAAGTTTGTATTCAGAAACTTTGGTGTGAGTCACAAGATTTTTCACTTGGTAAAATCTGGTGGTAAAATTTATTTTCTGTGCTATAATGAAACTCACTACAGAAAGAGTAACTTGTACCAATTTTTGAATATAAGGCTGCAAAAATATTTTTAATTTTATAATTAATTGTTGTTTTGGAGGGCATTGAATCTTAACTTGATTAATCCAAATCAATCAAAACAACCATGCGTGCTAGCATTTTATGAGAAGAGATAAACCGAAACAATCATGCTTAGTACCATTTTATGACAGTGCTCTATGTGCCCCTCACTCACACTTTAATACACCGATGCTGTTAATTTGGGGCTGGAGTGATAGCACAGCAGGCAGGGTGTTTGCCTTGCATGCAGCTGACCCGGGTTCGATTCCTCTGCTCTTCTCAGAGAGATTGGCAAGCTACCAAGAGTATCTCGCCCGCATGGCAAAGCCTGGCAAGCTACCCATGATGTATTCAATATTCCAAGCACAGTAACAAAAAGTCTCACGATGGAGATGTTACTGGGCCTGCTCGAGCAAATTGATGAACAATGGGAGGACAGTGCTGTCGTGCTACAGTGCTGTTATTTTGGGTTCAGTAAACCACATTCAGCTGTGAGCCACCATCGGCATTAATGTGTTAGGGTACGGGCATCAGTAATAGGACATATCTACTAATACGAAAATATGACATAAAAAGTAATAGGACATATCGTCATTCATTATCATATCTAGACTGAGGTAAAAAATGCAGACAATGAACTTAGTTTAAGAAGACATTGAGTAGATGGTTACAGTCATAGTTTATACTATAGTGGTTTATACTCATAGCAAGGAAATAGAAAATTGACAGCATGATGCTATTGTAATTTCTTCTAGTAAAAATTGTGGGAAAATAAGAACTTATGAAAATGGCTTCAAATAACAATTATATGTAACGAAGAATCTAGGCACTGTTAAGTATAGTCACTTGGAAAAGAATATTTCTTTAGGTCTTTAAAGGGAATATTAGTGAAGCATGCTGAAATATTTCTAACATTTTAATTATTCAGTTATCTAAAATGATCATAAATTAGTTTTATGTAAAGGTAAAAACTCAAGCTATTGACCGTGTTAGCCTAATACTTAACGTCAGGATTAATTTAATGGCAACTTAACTTACAAGCTACCCAAACCTGAACGATGACATTTCAAGCATTGCAACTTTAAGGCATTTTATACCATAATCATCCAAATAAGTTCTGAGCTGAGAAATTGAAAGAAGAAATGCCCTGATTCACTTTTGAAAAATTTCACAATGCTTAATATTGATGCAGGATTTACGCATCTGCAAATCACACGCAGCTACGCTCTGAAAAATCTGTCTTGTCTGTGCATTTGATGTCATGCAATTCCTTGTAAATTTAAGTATCTGTATTCTGGCATGAAATGACTTGGTAGATAAAAATATAACCTAAGTATTACTGATGCATAGGTCTATAAAAACATGAGGCTGGATGCTACCGAACTGTTTTCTACATACTAGCTGACCAACTAGTGTCCCTGGGTAGTCTGGACGTGGAGTATTAGCTTACAACATAGGGATGCTCATTACGGGGTGACCCAAGGGCTGCAGAAGGCTTCACTCATCTCTTACCTTTGCCATGGCTTCTCCCATCCTCCAAAAGCGGCACGACAATAGTGTTGTTCACATTTCCAGGTGACCGCACAGCTGTGTAGACAACAGGCACCGACTGAACCACCACAGGGATGCGGTGAACGTGACTCAGTTTGTTAGACTGTAAATTCATGGGACTTGAAGGCGGAACGGGATGGATAATGTGCAAAAACTGCTGGCCTCCCACGCCAGAGGCCGAGGCAACAAGGGGCCCTGGAGTTAATACTGTTGACGAGGATGATGCTGAAGATACTGATGTTATAACAGTTGGGGATGAGGCTGGACGACTAGAAGATGATGAAGAGGTTGAAGTAGACGAAGGTGAGGACGCAGACGCTGTCATGGAAACGGGGGAAGATGAAACAGCTGTGGGGGATGTCCTGGCTTTGTTGATTGACAAGTCCACTGGCTCGGTTTGTGTTTGGAAGTGATCTACTGATAACGAGTCCTCCGGGGGCTCCCCTTTCACATTATTTAGCAACAGGGGAACAGCTTCCATATCTGGGTAGTTGTGGACGTTTGGAGACTGTGGGAAGAAAAATAGACATATTTATCTGTGTTCATCACATTTTTTTTAAATGCATGATTTATGACTTGACTGTTTATTAATCGATCTTATTGTGGAGACCTTCCCTTCCCACATATTCGAAAGACAGCTTTGTAACAGCCTGCACGGTTCAACTTGAGAGTACAAAACAGAGTAAGACAAGCCACCTGCCATAAAGACATTTTCACCCTCTTGAGAGGGACAGACTTAATTATTCAAATCCAATGAAATTAGTGATCTACAGCAGAGAGAAGCTTCTCTGGAACACAGAAATGAGCAAAAAACATTTATTGAAGCTCTCCAAGTTCAAGATGCCAAGATCTAATTAAAACTATATAAAACAAACTTTTAAATTAAAAAACATTTGTTTTGTTAGTTTGACCCATCACTGCATTTATGAGTCTCAGTTATTAACTAATGGAAGTTTTGATTCATTTTAAAATATTCTTTCCAGCTCAAAATTTCAATAATTTTAAAATTCTAACCTTTATTCAACAATATCCTAATCCAGAGGCCTACTATCAGCTGGTAACAATGCCAGCTGGTAACAAAACTCAGGACCACAATTCAGTTTGCATATCAGGCACATAGGGTGCAAAAGCTACTGTGTATTCTCATCCTCAGCTCAGCATTTTAAAAAGGGCACAAAGCTCTCCTAGACCCACACTCAATTAATAAAATATTCAAACCAGTTATTTCTAACAATGGGAGTCTAGTCAAACTCTTAGTGATGTCAAAATGTTTCCCCAAAATTATACACAAAGGACATTTTAGACAATCATTTTAGAAAAAAATTATTCTGGAAACCTTCAAGTTGTGTAGGATTATTTTGTTATTTATAATAAATGTTAATTTTGCCCAAGTTCATTTGCATTCCTTTAAGTATTAATGAGGAAAATTTTTCAATAATAATAATTATTATAATTATAAAGATTCTAAGACTATTCAGGCTAATGGGCTTGGCACATTATTACTGAACATGAATATAATTTACTCTTACAATTATTCACACATAAATTCAGCAAATATTTATAGAATATCTACTCTGAGGCCCCGAATAGCCCAAGAATGTCAATCTAGGACAATCATGTAGATTATTTTGGTTATATCTGACATGACCACGCTTACGTATTCTTTATTGTTACATCAGAACCAAAACCTATTTTCTATTTTCAGTTTTACTATGGACAACAATACCTAAAATTATGTTAAACTGATTCATTTCTTTCTTTGTTTAGCAAGAGGTTTTGGTTTGCTATTCCTTTCAAGACTTCAGCAAACACTTAGAGAAACAAAACTTGTTTCTTAAATTCTTTCTTTGTGGAATATAAATCATAACACCATTCAGACCATATAATCAGTAGTACTGTAAAGACATTTATTCAGCAACAATATGAAAAAAAGTCAACAATAGTACTAGATCAAGATAAAGGGAAATAGTGTGATGTTTATTTATTTTTGTTCTATGCTAACTTGGTTACTTACCCAACAAAATAAAAACTAGAAATAGAAAACTATAAAAATGAATCATCCCAATTATTCACTGCCTGAAATTCTAAAAGACTAGATTTTTGTTTTACATGCTCAAATTGAGAAATTAAATTTTCTTGATTGTTGAGACATTAAGAAGCAAAAGATAAGGCTGAGCATAATCATCTAAGTTAGAACTTCAAAGAGCTATCGTATTATCAACTCTTCCTACAGGAAAATATTTCAATTTATTCCTCAAATTATTACTGGTTATTTTTGTAGAATTTTAATTGATTTTCATTCACGTGCTTGCCCTTATAGAACTTTTGTTGTTGTTGAGGAAACATATCAACTGGCTTGTCATTGAAATGGCAAGGTATGTCATTAGGAACATATGATTAAGCAATGTCCAGTTTAAAAATATTCTGTACTTTCTCTCTTTTTAAAATATCAAATTTATTCAAAAATCTAAATTTGTATATAGTGGTTATTTTTGTCACAACTCTGTCCTCTTTATTTAGATACAAGATTCCTAAAGAGGTGTACAAAAATAATGATGCAGTGCAACTGACCACTATAGAATTTCTTAATGTAAATAAAAGTCTAAACAAGTAGATTATGACAACACAAGGAGTGGTAAATATGGAACTTATTTGTAAAAAAAAAATGCTAGAGGTATCAGGTTTCACTGGTCTGCAAATTGCTTAGAATTCTCTAGATTATGGGTCTAGATGCTTTTGTAGATTTGCTTAATCCCTCACTGAGGAACATATTTACTTCTTGAGCTCTTTTAAAATGGAAGAAGTGTATGTCTCTTAAAATTCACTTGTATATACTGGAAAACCATTAAGACCAAATGTTGATAGCTCTTAGGCCCTTACAGATACTTAAAAACTACATAGCTTTTATATGAGCTCAACCTCCAATTTAGAAAATGCTCATAAAAATAATGAAGGGTAAACCAAAACTTTAGGATGAGAAGCATGTTTTCTTTGGAACCTTGAATACATTAAATGCAAATCTATAACCTGTAGGCATCACAGCAGCACACGATGTTTCCTTTTTATATGCATCATTTAAGATGCATTCTTTCCAAAAATTATAACTGTTTAATATAAAGAAAGAAGTCACTGTCCTCCCATTGTTCATCGATTTGCGTCAGTGGGTCCAGTAACATTTCCATTGTGACACTTGTTGCCGTGCTTGGCATATCGAATACGTCACGGGTACCTTGCCAGGCTCGGCCGTGCGGGTGAGATACTCTCGGTAGCTTGCTGGGCTCCCCGAGAGGGGCGGAGGAATCGAACTCGGGTCGGCCATGTAGGCTGTGTGCAAGGCAAACGCCCTACCCGCTGTGCTATCGCTCCAGCCCGAGAAAGCAGTATCCTTATTATGTCATCTATTTACAGTGTTGACATTAATATTGCAATCCCACAGCCCTTACTAATCCTTCCTACTATGATAATGTGGCAGATGAAGCTTTCCATAATTCCAAATTCAAACTACATACATATAAATATAAGGTCAGCAATATTGCATAAATATGTACTAAAAGCAAGAATATGATCTTGTCCCATTGATCAGGAAAAAGAACTTAGCAAAAGCGTGCTCCTGAAATCAACACTCAGTCTCCATTTCTTTTATTAAGCAGAAAACTGAAATGTACTGGTTCTGGAATTTGAATCCATGATAAAGTGAAGAGAGCAGAGGAGACAGCCAAGAGCAAGAATTAAAGTCTTTCAGCTACAGTGCCTCTCGGAAGCCTCAGCAACTTGAGACACAAGAAGAGGAGGAAGAGACAGCACAGGCTGAAGGACAGCAGGTGGAAGACGAGGCAGAGCTCCACAGGAACTGTGTTTGTAGACCCATGGAAGTCACAGAGCAGAAGCATGGGATGATGGAGGACAGTGATGCTGGCCCAAACCCAAACTGAATGCTCTCTAACATCCGATGGATCTTGATGGATCTAGACCATAAAAAGATATCACTGCCATAAGAGATCATCCTTCCTCTTACCCTGTTGTTACTTTCAGTCTTGTGCTCTGGACCTGACATTCTGAGATAGTTCCACTGTCAGTTGGTGCTAAACATAACACAGATCCAGTTACTATCCCTTATTTCTTAGCTAAAGAAAAAGGGGTTCGGACAAAAGCAGAAAGTGAGAGAAAATGTGTGTTTTTCCAGAAACAATGTCTGCACAATGAATTAGATACAAGTAAAGAAACCAGATATAAGTTCTATGTTTTATGAACAAAGTAGACACTCCATAAAGAGTATGAATAACTGATTCCATACAAAAATGTTATGACTCAATTCTTGATTCAATATTTGTGAACTATGCATAGCAATGCCAACTAAGCATTATGTTGTTTGTCTTAAATAAAAGCTCATAAAGATTTTTGCCCACGAGTGGTGACTTTAGCTGAATTTTTACTGCTGATGTTCCTTATGTGGAAAATATGATCAAATCTATCATATTCTATATTATATTATACTTTTGTATTATCATATCATCAAATGGAAACTATACTCCCAAAGACATAATGATTTCAAGAGGATGCTGATTTTTTTGTCAAGAAGAATAATTTCATTTTTCAAGGAATAATGTATTTTAAAAAGGTTCACAATAAAGTTTCTATAATAATTTCAAGAAATAATTGCATTAAGGGGCTACAGAGATAGTTCAGAGGCAGAGGCGCTTGTCAACTATGGTTTGATCCCCAGTACCACACATGGTTCACTGAGCACAACCAGAAGTGATCCCTGAGCACAGTCGGTAGTACACCCTGAATACCCTGGAACTGACCCCCTCCCCCACCAAAAGAAATAACTATCAATACACTCAAAATTCTGACAAGAAAGTGTCACTGTAACTTCCTTTTTCAAAGTGCATGTGAAAAATTGAAAATAAATGTGAGCAATATTATATTGTCATATCATTTTCAAGAATCTTAGAGCTGGTTTTATTCCTAATAACTATAGCCAAGAAAAGCACTGCATATGATATTCTTGGGAACACCTTTATTTCAGATATCTGAAACTGGATTACACATGCACTTTTCTAATCTCATCATCCTTTCCCTAAATAAGCATCTTAAAATGTAACTTCATATTTCGGATTTTGTGGAATAAATGTAAAAATAAACTCAAAAGCCTTTCGATATGTCAGTACCCAGAGTTTTTAAGTATTTTCTATAGCCATTACTGTCAGGTGAATCTTATTATGGTCTGTCAATGAACTGAAAAAAATGAAACATTTTTAGTGGCTGGTTTTATATTTTAACTACAAGGCAATCCCCAAAAAGGGAAAATTGTTCAGATACCACCATAAATTTTGAAATCCCTCCACAAATTTTGATAAGCAGTCAGAGTTGAGAGCCTTTTATATAATACTTTTAGGATGTTATCAAGAGTTCCATATGGTCTCATCTTTAGCGGAATTTGGTATTTTTAGAAGGGATAGTATGTATTCATACACAGGTGCACACAGAGAGACACACAGGATGTGT